GGGCTGGGAGGCTCCATGTGCTCCTGCTTCCGTTTGCACTGTTTTCTGCTCCTTCCACAGGAGGCTCTGGACTTAACCTGTCCAAAAGCGCCCTGCTTCGTGAGGTTCTCGGAGAGGGAGCAGATCGCAAATCTGCAAGCCGAGATCAATCAGGTAGGGCCCGGCCGCTGCTGCCCAGCTCTGCACCCCGGTGTGGAGGCAGCGCCTGTCGCTGGGTGCTGCTGCCTCGCGGCTGGTGTTTAAAACAATTCGTCTGGCAGGGTCTTCCCCATGGACTGAATTGTCCCCAGAAAACAACAAAATAATTAAAATTTTCAGTATACCTGGAAAGGGACGGCAGTCCACACCTTTGACTGCAGTGTGATGTAAAGCTTTGATTGCAAATTAAAAAAAAAAAAAAAAAGGTGTTTCTTTACAGACAGCTGAACTATTTTTTTGGCTAGCAAGAATTATCCTCAGTCATTTCCTACCTAATTTCCTATTAGTTGCTGGATTTTATTTTATGATGGTGTATTCTGAGCCCTTGCTGGCTAGTGGGGGAACTATACCTGTAGAATTTTGCGACTCAGGCTGTAGTCCTACTGCAAAGTGATGTGACAAATGGCCTGTGTACTTCTCTGGAGAACAGGAGACAGCTGGCATCATCCTCCTGCTAGAAGAAATAGTTTTCGACTGTAGCATGGTTACTTAACTTTCTCTGCTGAAAGTTTTTATGCATGGAATAGACTCTCACAGTGACCAAGGAAAACAGTTGTTCCTTGTGAGGCCCAGAACACTGATGTCTTCCTCTTCTGTCTCTTCCCCAGTCTGCTCCCATCTAGCCTAAAGAACCACAACTCTTAGCTGTTTACGGTAGTTACTCTTTTCTAAACAGGCTATAATTTTTTTTTAAGCACATAGTAAAGGTAAACAAGTGTTGAGCAGGTGTTTCCAAGTTTTACTGTTGAGTCACAGCTGTTTGTCTGTCTTCAGCATACAGTAATATTCGCTTTAAGCCTCTTATCTACTTTTTTTACTTTATACTTTTTTTATTTGCTACTTCTCTCGCTTATTGCTTTCAGTCAGGAATGTAAAAAATATGGTTTTGGTCTCATTTCAAAGCACCTATTTTTTGGTTAATAGTGCGGATCACAGAAAGGTGTCTGCTGCTCTTGCACAGGTTTATTGTTGAAAAGAATTAAGAGGTTTGTGTGAGATAGTTTTTTCATTGGCTGAGGGATAAGCTATTTTTTATGAGGAGGAGGAAACTTTTTAAGCACATTATAGATAATGAAACTGCTTTGTGGGTGATAAGCTTCTGTGTTTTTAAGAATAATTGCCTGATCTGTCTCTTCTAACACAAATTTTAACCAAAAGGATTTTTGGAATATTTTTGACCAAAAAACCCTCAACAGTGGAAACAGCACAGATGTGTCTTGGTCTCTCTTTAGGTGTCTCAGTCTCTTAATTAAAAATATTTTTCATTTAATTTTCATTACTATTGTAGAAAAAAATGGAAATTGAAATCCTGGAATTGGAGAAGGAGACAGCAGACATTACTCACCCCTTTTACTTGAGTAAGTGCAGTTATGCATTAGAAAAAAATGTGAGTGTTAAATGACTTCATTATCAGATTAATGTCTCCCTTGACTACATGACGCTTGTGGAAATTTTTGCATCTGTCCTCACTGGATAGCTTGTTCGAGGTGGCAAGTGCTTAATTAGCCCGTAAAAAACATGCACCTTATCCAATGATAGTAGGAGTAGTGTATGTGTCACTGTGTCCTCTTGTCCCTGGGGTTAGTGGAGCATCAGGGGTTCGTCAATATAATGCTTTGCTTCCCTTGGCCTGTGTGTCACTTCTCTGCTTTTCCAGCAACCTAATATATTATTTTTCTTCATCTCTAGTGTCCCTAGAATTGCACAGATCTTAATTTTTGTGGTTTGGAAGCATGTGGATTTTTCTTCAGTATTTTTCCCTAGCTTTTACTACTACAATTTGATGGGTGCTTAAAAGCTTTCTAGCTTACTGATGCTGGCGTGATGCTAATGATGTAAGTTGTAATACTTCAATTCTGTGATACAGATTAAGAAGTGGATTTCAGCTCTTAAAGACATTTTACTTAGCGTTGTTGGTTTATCTGTAGTTCTGCATATCTAAAAAGTAGGTATGATTAAGACTTATTTCAAAATAATTCTCATGTTAAATCTTATATAATCTAATGCAAGTCACTCCAGTTATCTTCATCATTTTAGGCCAAAAGTTTCAACTTTGCAATTTCTTTTTATAGACCAAAAGTGCCAGATCTTTCAAGATATGAACAACCACTTGGAAGCAGTGCTGAAAGAGAAAAGGGCTCTCAGAAAAAGGCTAATTAGGCCCAGATGTCAAGACAGCCTGCCTATTGAGGCTCCTTACCACAAGTAGGTATATGGAAAATAATTGTTTTGTGTATGCATGAATCCAAGTCAGTTTGAACGCAGAGGTAGTGAAAGTTACATGCTGTCATTCACTCTTGCATGAAGTGGAGGAAAATAGCTAGTGAAACCTCAGCTGAAAAACTAATAGTTCATTCACTGATTGAATTTATAGAAAGGTATTAAGTCTTTTCATGAATGTTTGCTTAGAGTGATTTGATCTTGTCTTCTGAAGATTTCACAAAGGTTCATGTTGCATGTTTAGAGAGGTATTAAATGCTTGATTCATTATGCTTTCCTGTAAGCAGGAAGTGTTATGTTTGTCATCCCGCTTTCACTGTGACTTGTTCAGAGTATATGTGGGTAATCAAAGTGGTAATTGTTGAAAAATCAGTTAAATGGTCAGGGACTTTATTAAAACTGGAGGAGAAGATTAAGAAAAAACACAGGGAAAGTAGGAGTTGGTAAGTATTAAATCCTGTGTTGTTTTGCAAAGCTTTTGAGTAAGATGGCTAATTCTTGACTACAGGTATATAGTAGAGTTGTTGACTGAGGCTGTGACCTTCATTGAGAAGCTTGAAAAACATTTGCAGACAGTAAGAAGCAGCCCTCAGATACCCACCTTAATGAAGGATATGGTGAGTAGCAAAAGAATTGAACTTTCTGCATCTTGCAGGATTAAGACCTCAATGCTGTTTGTGTGTGCAGGCTAGTTTTGGGTCTTGCTAATAGGACAGGACATGCAGGGGTGAAATGCTTCTCTTCTTTTTCAGGACACCGCTCTGACAAAAACAGAGATACTAGTGAGAGATTTGGAGGAACTGACAGAGCAAATACTAAAATGGAGGGAAGTGCAAAAAGAGGTGCATTCTGACAGCATCTACAATCCCGCTGAATTCGACTTTAGCTCTTATTTAACCTGACAAATATCTCCTCTGCAGAAAGGATGGACACTTGCAGAACCAACCTTTAGCAGTCTTCTGAGAAGTACAATGTAATTGTGCCTTAACTAGCTACAGGGTTCCTGTTGAATTCCTGGTTCCTGTTCTTACATGGTAGTTGAACAGATAAGTTCTCAGCTAGTTTAAAAAAAAAAAAATGTAATAGCTCATACAAAGGCAAATCAGTGAGAAGACTTAGAGCCTGTACCTTCAATGAAGGTTTTTTGTGTGTTTTGTGTTTTGTATTGGTTGTTCATTTGCTAAATGTCCACTTTTGTTTTTGTAAATACTATATTTTGTCATGATAAAATTTCAATAAAGGCACTAGATTATAAAGAGAAGTCTTTTGATATTTTGTTGCAAAATCTGGTAATCAAACAGTACAAAGTTGGTATGGAAACTAAACTGGATCTACGATTTCAAACCACCACCCAGTGAGTGGAACTGGAACACGCTTCCCTGGAAACAGCAGAAATGAAAATCCAGTTGTTTTGTTAGCCAATATTGTGACTGATATGGTTCCTTGGAAAAGGAGGGAAGTGATGCATGCAGTTTCTACTAACTCGTCATCTGCGTTTCTATGATAAATGTATTTAGTCTCTTTTGCTTGTCCTATCTTTGCTGCCTCCCTCAAAATTAATGTTCCATGGAGCTATCACTGATTTTGTTTAATTACCAGTCATGCCCAGTCTTCATCGTCTGTGTGTGTTAAAAGTTTTGTTAGTAAAACACCCCGGTAGGATATCTGTAAGTGCTGGGTGCCTTGGGCACTTCAAACTTAACATTCGAGTCATGGTCAAACAGGAACTGGTAACAACTTTGTTCCTTTCTGTAGCTGCATAGATCAGCTTATTTGTCAGCTCAGTTCCTGTGTTCAACAGCATGGTTTCTTTTTTTTTTCCCACCATTCTTTTTTTGAAGGTAGCCACTAGGTGGCTCAGTAGCCCACAACTTTCCCTGTAGTTGATCTGATTAATGACACATTCACATCTGTGCATCGTTGTGCAAGCTGTCTTTTACAGACAAGAAGCAAAGCAGAATTAAGGAAGAAATACTTGATTCTTTGTTGAGCACGGTCAGATTAAGTTCGTTGCAGTTGGTCTGCCATATATTAAATACTTGAAAGTTACTGAGAATCCCATCCTTCATCTCTGTAAAATGTATTATTCTTTTGGCTATAATGTCGCAGTCTAACGACCTACATGTTCTCTGCTGTAGGATGTAAGTGTAGCTGTTTTTTCTTCCTGCTTCTGTTGAGAAGTGAAGAAGATGCAAATGACTTGGGCTAAGTCACGTAGACTGCTAGTAGATACAATCTAAGAATATAAACTGCAGCCTGATCTCTTAAAATTTTAATGGGATCTTTATGTGAACAGCTGTTACAAGTCATGCAGGATTTTAAACCTAAAGTCCTATATGGCAGTCATGGCAGGTATGGAAAGGAACATCTACAGAGTTGCAGAAGAGCTCTGTGATTTTATTTATTTATTTATTTATTTTCCTTTTGCATTCTCTGATACAGAAGGGAAGAGAATCCAGGCTTCTAGAATCATGGTCCTGTGCGTCAGTGACAAGGTTAATCTCTCTTGCTCAGATTATTTTGCAGTGCTACTTTAGGTAAATTAAAGCTGTTGAAAGGCATTTATATACCATGTGGTTTTTTTTGTTGTTGTTTGTTTGTAGTTTGTTGTTGTTTTGGGGTTTTTTATTAAGGGAATGGAGAATGAAAACACAACGCTAATTAGGGAGCTTGGCACAAAGCTGCTACTATTTTGAAATGGAAACACAGAGTAAAAAGTCCAATAGAAGTGGGTGAGAGCATTGGCAGAAATCGAGCAGGAATCGCCACTCAAGTGCATAACTTCTATCCATGCAATAGCTTGGAACCGAGCAGAGCTCAGCTGGCAGTGCTCTGGAGGGCTCGAGGCTCAGTTTTCTACGTCCAGCACAACCTGCGGGAGTTTCCAAAGCCGGCAGCTTAGCTTTCCCTTCGGGGTGATGAGCAAGGGGCATTAACGCCCTTAGGGGACCCTCCCGCGGGGTGGGCCGGGC